AGCATCACTTCTGTGTCACTGTGAAAAATCATCAGGTTAAACAACTGTAAGTTAGGAACCATCTACATTGGGCCTGAAGGATCTCTTTTTTTTTTTTTTTTATGTATTTAGTACAGGGTCTCACTACATAGACTGGACTCACACTGATCCTCTTTTCAGCCTCCCAAGCGCTGGGATTACAGGCACATGCCACCATGCCCAGTCTCTATCGCTGTATCTGTGGGCCCTAGGGGTGGGGCTGGCACGGCATGCCCAGGACTGAACCCAATCTGACGAGCTCTCTGGCTGGCCCAGGATCATCTTTTTAGAATCGTAGAAGGAAAGTCCTTAGTGGCGAGAGGTTTGAAAAATCAACTCTGATATTCTTTACATCTGGCCACTGTTTAAATGTGTACAAGCCCAGTCACACTGATGATTCCTCGGGCCGCAACTTGATCAGTTTAAAAAGCTGGTACATTGTCTGTGACGAGTGGCTACATTGGTCTGTGTGGCTGCTACACCCACAGAGTAGGTGTCCGGTGGATAAGTGAATGCTTTCTGAACACATTTCTGAAGGCTGGGAGTTCAAAATCACAACAGAGTTGGTGACTGGCGAGGGGCTGCTTCCTGATTAATAGCCATTGTCCTCATGTGGTGGAAGGGACAAGGGCAGCCTCTGGAATTTTACTTGAGGGTACTAACCCCTCATGACCTAATTCCCCCCACACACCCAAAAGAAGGCCAACCCCTAACACATCACACTGGGGACTAGGATTTCAGTATATGAATCTGGAAGGACATTGATTGCCTATCGTAGTGGCCTTATTCTTATTTTCATAAATATTTATCTAAATTGTCATAAATAAAATGCTGAAGAGGTAAAATGATAAACCGAAAGATCCTGACCACTTCTCTGCCTATGAATAGCACGTGTGAGAGTCATTAGCACTGTCTGCCAAATGCTTCTAACTCACTTTGTCCTTACTTGAAGTGAACAGCAAATATATGTCTTGTGTTGGGTAGAAAAATATGAGCACAAGTAACGTAGCACTTCTGGCCACCTTAGATTTTTTTTCCTTCTGATGCTGAGGATTCAATGCAGGGACTTCACACTGAGCTGCACCACCACTGCCCTCCACCCCTTTCCCATTTTTGGAGATAGATCTCGCTACATGATGCTGCCCCGGCTGGGTGTGAACAGTCCTCCATCCTCAGCCTCACGGTGTGCCGGGGTGCCAGTACACCACCACATCCGACTCCTTCCGGCAAGCTTAAGAATCAGTGTGCTCGCTGTCACCCCCTTTCCCTGCGCATGCTCCCCATGGTGCTGCTCTGTCAGCCTGGTCCTAACCGAGGATGACATGGTAAAGAGCTTGCAGACACTCAGAAACGATCACGTGGCGTGGATGAGACAGAAAGCTCTTATCTGCGAAGCCCATGAGACTCGGGGGTCACTGTGGCATAGGTTGCCTTACATTAACTGACACACCAGCATGCAGTTCACACTCACACACCTCTGGGGCTCAAAAACTTTGCTGAAGTTCTGTATCTAACATAGATTGATCTGTCATCCGAGGGTGGAGGGAGAATGTTGAATTTTTGTCTATGATTTTTGAAAAGATGCCACACTTGCATTTGTGCTTGTGTTGGAAAGATGGTCGTGTTTGTTTATCTAAATTGTCATATATAAGTCTAGTGCAATAGTTTATATCTAAATTCATATACTGAAATCCTAGTCCCCAATATGATGGTGTTAGGAGGTGGGCCTTTTTATTGGGGGTGGGAATTAGGTCATGAGGACTTAGTACCCTCAAATAAGAGACTCCAGACAATCCCTCCCACCATGCAAAGACAACGGCTATTAACCAGGAAGCAGCCCCTAACCAGAATTTTGGGGCCTAGGGAAACAGCTCAGAGACATAAGCTCAGGACCTGTCAAGCACAAGGTCCTGAGTTCTATCTCTGGCCCCACATGCCATGCCTGCCCCAGAATGGAGCATGGCAGCACACGCCTATAATCCCAGCACTCAGGAGGTTAAGACAGGATGATCACTGCACGTTCAAGACCAGCCTGGGAGCTATGAGCGAGCACCAGGCCAGCCTGAACTGCATAGTGAGACCCTGTCTCAAAAACAAAACAAAACAAACAAACAAAAAAACCCAGCCAAATGTTTGTTTGCAAACCAAATTATTCACAAACAAAAGTATTTCATGAACTGAGGCACCACTACGCACCGCCTATCTATATATCTATGTGTATGGTGACTGAAAAAAAGAGTGGAAATTTCATAAAACCTATATGTAGCCCAAATTAGATGCAGGCTTTACAGATCTTGCATTGAGACCAATCTGAGTGATAAAATATGGTCCTATATTCCCCTTCCCTGGCATACGCCACAAAACTCCAAACACACCCCAAAGCACCTTCAGCCACTCAACCTAAAAAGGGCAACCTTTGTTAGACGCAGTCTTGACCTTACGCTCAGCTCAGAGACATAAGCTCTGTGGCACCCAGGGAGTAAATGACAAACCCAACTTCCTTCTTTCCAGAAGAGTTTGTCAGTCAAGTGTTTAGAAGGACCTGCTCTGGAAGTGAGCGGTACCTCACGCTTAGACCTGGAGGATGTCACTGCCACCACTCTGCCTCAAGGGGCCAGCAGGCAGAGGGGCTGCCAGAACCCCCAGGGAGGAGGGCCTTCTAAGGAGCCAGCTCTCCTCTGAGTCAGCTGTGGGCCTCAGGCAGAGCCAGGTAGAGGGAGGCAGATGTGGAGGCACATCTGGAGCCTCTGCAAGCCCTGCACAGCCCTCAGGCTGTCACATCTATAGCCTCTCCTGCCCCAAGAAATGGGGCAAGTGTGAAAGCCATCTGCAGCCTAGATTAAGTCTGCTTCGTGAGTCCAGCAGGGGATGCGCTGCAGCCCGGCATTCACGTTCCCACCACAGAGCAGATGGTCACCGAGAAGGTCCCCCTTTAATATTCTGCCAGGATCTCGTGATTTTAGAGAAAACTCTCACCAAGAGGCCCCATCTTGCCTGAACTAGTAATGCAAACCAAGACACACCGATAGATTCACGTTCTTTAATGAGTCCACCCTTTCTACACAGACAGGTGTTAGCTCCTCCCTGCGATCTCTGAAATTGGCATTCCATGCAATGTAAAACTATACAAAATGAAAAATACCCATATATTTATAGATAATACTTTAAAATTGTTTAAAGAAAATTTTTAGGTATTTGGGATTATTGTTCAAGTTCCGTCTACAAAAGAAACTTTAAAAACACCTGAAGAAGCCAAAGAAATATCTGTCTCCAAATTGAATACTAACAACACGAAGGATTATCTGAGAGTTATCAAATGCACCCGATAGATAGTAAATTCTCATGTGAATTTGCTAATCAACTATGGTTAACAAATTACGCAAATTCCTGAATTCCTAGCACGTTAGAGGAGAAAAAAAGAGAAATAGAAGAAAACTTTAGAAGAAAATAGTGAGTCATTGTATGAGTAACCTCATAGTCTCCATTTGGAGAAATCCTGCTGGCTGATGTTAATCCCAGATCCTCGCCCATTCCTGGGATGCTTCCGCCTCCTCTACATCAGAATGAGACCAGGCTGGATACCCAGACCCCAGATGCTTCATCATGGCGTTTACTCTAAGATAATCTGCCCGTCTGAGAGATCTGTGACATCCCTACAGCCTGAGACTCACTTAAAGGACAAAGCAAGCTAGAGGACTGTCCTCTAGCTCCTCCATCTCTGTGCAGGGATGTTTGCAGACAGGTCACTGAGCCACAGGAAGGACCAGGGCAGGGGCTTGGTCTTCCTGCTGAGAGGGCTTTGTGCTGTGAAGCCGACCTGTGGCTCTCTGCAGAACCTGCGGCACGCACAGAGTCCTACATATTCTGGCTTCAGACGGGAGGCCTGGCTAGCCCTTGATGGATCAGAGCTTGTCTTCTAGGAATACAACTAACTAAACATTTTCATAAGAGGCCCATTGTTGCAAATGGCCACATAGAGACAACTGGGAAGCTCTGTGCTTCTGAAAATGATCATACTAAAGAGCAAAGAGAAACAGCGTGCACGGGGTGCCAAGTGCCAACCCTGTCTCTCCCGGCCTCCCTTTTCTACAGATTTGCTAATCTTACTTCGACTTCTAAAGGTTAAATATACACACTCTTCATCTCCTTGGAGATAAACCTTAATAGCCACCTTATGTATCCCGATTTTTGTTCCACTTTTGACAATGTACAGCAAAATAAAACTTCCAGAAATAGAAAGCTTAGAGAAATGGAATTCAGTGTAACAAGCAGGGATCTGAGACATTTATCATGAAAAAAGTTTGCCCTGGAAGGATCTGCTATCTATTAAGATATGAGAATAAAATCTGAATTTTAGCCCAGGGCTAAGAAAGGCTAGGAGGGAGCTTGGTGAAAAAAAGAATAAAATGCAGGGTCAGGACCAGAGGACTGCACGACAAAGCTACAGCCAGTGGCTAGCATTTTTCACACGGCATTGATTAAGGCTTTGACAGCTGTTTTTTTCTTTTTTTGTTTGTTTTGTTTTTATGTACATACATATATACAGACATATATTATTAATAATACTTTGATTTTTTTTTTGCTTTAAGGAGAAATATTCCCATGCATTCCCTTTACTCTTCTATTATTCTAGTTTTTAGTCCCAGCAATCATTTTAATTGGACCATAATCTTCTGGTGGTATATTCTGATCTTTAAAAAACATAGACTTTAGTCATTTACAAATATTTTGTTTAAAATGACAACCTATCTCAAAGAAGTTTTGGTGCTTGGAATTTATCTTGGCTTTAATTGGAAGTACTTTCATGTGCTGCCCTGTGCTCAACCCCAGCAAAACAGGACTTAGCATTATGTAAACATTGTATTAAAATTATTCCAACATAAATATTCTTTAAAGCTAACATACCACAGCTTTTAGCTCATAATGCCCAGATGCCTTAATGAAATGCCATTCAAAACTACCTCGCTGTTTATATTAGACCTTGAGGTACTAAAGTTATGTAAACATTATCCTCTACACGGCCCGAGAACAAGTGCTGAGCGTCGTGAATCCTGATTCCAAGGTGCTGACCGAGTACAGTTAATCCGAGCAAGGTTAGCAATGTTCTCTTTAGCCTGTTTGATTACAGGGAGTTAGTTAGTCAAGGGTTGACTTGTTCCACAAGGTGAGGATTCTTACATAACTTAGAATGAAAGTGTTCACCCCACAAGGGACCCGACTGGCCCTTGTAAGAGGTCTTCGCACGTTGGCTGATGCAGTGTGCACGGGCTGTCAGGAGGCCCCGCGGCAGGCGCCTCCTCACCGAGGTTCTTTAGAGCCCGGGAGCCCCGGGCACACTGGCGTCTTCTCAAAGTCAGCAAGCAAGAGAATGCTGCGATGAGCCAGGATGTCTCCTCCCCAGCGCACTGAGGTTTCTCGCCAGCCAGTATCCTGCTAAAATCCATGTGGACGGACACCTTAGCTCCTCAATGCAGTTAAGTGAAGGGAGCCACCAAGGGGACAAGGGGACAAGTGCTGCAGAGCAAAGCTGTAAGGCCTTCCAAGTTCACAACAATGACTCTTGCGCTCGAAGATGCCTCTGCGCGCTGCTTACGGGGCTGCTTGTCATCCTGAAGTCCACATTCTCAGGTTTCTCAGCTAATACATCCCGGCAGAGAGAAAGCAGAAGTTTCCAGACAAAGCTGTGGCACATTGGCCACCACCAGGCTTGTGTCCTCACTGCCCAGTGTAGACAGAAGGCAGTCTGTCTCCAGGATACGGTCACATTGCCTGGCACCTATGGAAGCACATTCACAATAGAGAAATGGCCAGCCCCAGGGCCAGCCTTTTGCCCCACAAGAGCAAGGGACAGCAATGGGTAGAAACAAGCATAGCTTGAATAGTCAGCAGCTTTAACCTTCATCTTCTTCAGAAGCCCATATGGATACCTTCGCAGCTGGAACCAAAAGAGCATCACCCTCCTTCGTGTTGGCCACACACGTCCTCTCATCTCCGTACACGCCTTCCAGGCTGGACTGCGAGGTTTTGCTTCACAAGAACACTATACACTTGCTTTAGGGCTGATTTTCAAGGTGCTATTGTAAGAACACTCTCAGTTCCTGTCTGTCTAGGACTGTGGCATTATTTCTTCACGTGCAGAGCGTCCTGGAACTTGGTGCTGGTGTACCGAGCGTGAAAGCCTTTCTTGTTGATAGTGTCATCAGTGTGGAACCGGATCATCAGGGAATCCCCTGCCGAGTAGAGTTCTTCTAATGGCTGAGGAAAGGAGAAAGGAACTTTCAGTCAGTTAGTTGTGACCGCAGCTGAAACGAGGATGGGAAGGACTGTACGCAGGGGCTGGGATGGCCGGCCAATGGCCATTACTGCCATGCGGTGTCCCTGGCACTGAGACTCTCAGGGGCATCTGAACAAGCTCCTTTTCAAAGGGAAGACATAAATTTGTTCCTCTCTGGGTCTTGATTTTCCAAAACTGATCCAAGCTGCATCACTTGTACAGCATCTACCACTTATTAAGAGTTCACACGCGGGCCAAGCCCTGCGCTAACCACCTCCGGATCTCAGTCTCATCTCCTGTAACCTTTACAAGAAACTTTAGGACAGGTACTATCTCCATTTTTCACTTGAGGAAATTAAGACCCAACTTCACATAGGCTGGCAGGACCTGACCTCGGGTCTTTCTGACTGACCTGTAACTCGTCTCTCAGGAGACCTAAAGCAAGGACCGTTTTTCAGATTAACATCCTGTCCAAGGACAAAAAGAGGGATGGAGCTACTGCTCTCATGAGAAAGGGTCTGTGGCTAGAAGCCAGGTCCCCAGGCTGCTGCCCGCCCGATCCTGGGGAAGCCCAGCAGAGCCTCCTACTTAGCACCCTCCTCGGCCCTCCAAGGGGCTCCTCTTCACGGGCCACACAGTCTGAAAGGCTTTATTCAAAGCAGAGCATTGTGTAAGTCATGCTTTGTCAATATCTCCCAGTGGGTGAGGGAAGGTGGGGAGAAATTATTCATATATAGATAATCATGCAGACATAAATATGACACAAACATCGGCTCAAGTTTCTGTCTAGCACAAAGAGCACTGGGGATTCAGCAATAAGTCAACCTAAGTCCAGCCAATGGCAAAGAGACTTACATGAGCGGCCCTGGGGCCTATTGTGGCCAGCATCACACCATGGAGGGATCAGAACAATGTACTTGCTAGTTCAAATACATCTACTGAACACTGAGTACCAGACTGTGAGTCAGGAGCAGGGAAAAAAATGGAAAAAACCAGACCTGCCCTGATCCTGGGTTGGTGGCCCAGGAAAAAGGCTGAACGAGAACAAAGTGACATGACTGACAGTGTAAATATTGTATTTGTAGAAAAATAATGATACATATTTTCATAAGCATCTGGTTTGACTTGGGAAGAGAATTTTCAATAGAGAAAGCATACCAAAAAAACTAGTTAAATAATTTTTAAAAGCCAGAAGGCAAAATAAAATGAGGGAGATGCCCCTTTGCAAACATAGGAGCAAAGGGCTGGCCAGATAGTTCAGCAGACTAAAGCACCTGTGTAGGCAGGTGTAACAATTGGGATTCGATCCCCAGCGTGCCGAGCCAGCCCTGCCTCTGGGGTGTGCTGAGATATCAATTAAGAGTGGGCGCTGCCTGAGTTCAATCCCCAGTTCCTAAAAAAAAAAAAAAAAAAAAAAGAGTGGGCATGGTGGTGCACACCTGTAATCCCAGTGCTTGGAAGGCTGAAAACAGGAGGATCACTACATCCTACGAGTCTGATCTGTGTAGTGAGACCTTGTGTACCCTATAGTAAATACATTTAAAAAAAAAAAAAAAAAAAAAAAAGGAGCAAAGTCCTAAAAGGCAAAATATTCCTCCCTGACTTACTGCAGGCCAGAGACTTCAGGGCTGTCCCCAAGGATTCTCATTCCCCACGCCACTCTGGCAACAGCTATCACGAGGTAGGAGTAGCCAGACTCAAGCTAGGTGTGGTCAGACCATATTCCAAGCTACAACTCCTACATGTGTCGTCCCCCCCCCACCGCCCCCCGCATCCGGGGACTCACCCCAGAGCCACAGAAGCGGCCAAGCCTCGGAGCTGAGCTGTCGTAGCCATCAAATGCCTCCATGTAGTCATAGCCACAGTCAGCCTCCTCCTCCACTTCAAAGGCCTGGAATATCAACTCCACACCATAGCCGTCCTCCGCCACTATAACCCACTCACAGTGGGCCTGGGCCAGGTAGTTGTTGTCCCCAAACTGGGCATGGGAGTACAGCTCCTTGGTCTGCACTTCAGCCTTCAGCCTGCCCCCACACTCTGGAGCAGAGAGAGAGTAGCGACATCCCCTCCACATCAAGAGCCACGTGCCGTCCCACCTGCTCCCCCAGCTTCTCTGTAGAGCCCGGCATGTGCCCTGCCGGAGAGGCTAAGAAACCCCGTTATCTGCACTCAAGAGAAAGCACAGGCCCTCGCTCCATGGCCACAGTTCTTAGTGGTCTAAACTGGCCCTCAGGAGCCATGATGGGCCACATAATGCTTGTGGGAGTCCCAGAACGCGCTGCTTTTCTTTCTCTCCCCACTGAAGGGGAAATGAGGTCAGTGGCTGGCCTGCCTGACTGTTCTCTGGATGTGGCTGGATCCTGACCACCCGAAACCCTGGAAAAGCGGGCAATGGAAGGCACCCTGCTGACTTACTGTACCGCCTGCCTGCCTGCCTGCCAGCAGAGGCTGATAAAGCACACCAGGACTGCAGGTGATCTCCAAAACCGGAGCAGCCACTGCTTGCATTTGAGAAAGCTGACTAGTGCTCAACTGTGAGGTCCCTGTGGGGGTCATAAATGAGCACCCCTCAAACTTTGGCCGTGGCTTCTGTTTTAGGTTTGGTTTGGTTTCGCTTTTTATTAGAACAGCACCTCAGATCAGCCTGGATCTATGCCACCTTGTGCCTAGACCACATGATCCACATAATTAAAATGGTTAAACGAGGCTGGTCTAGATTAGGAAGCACCAGAAATCCAGGAGGCGAGTTCTCGCACGGCTCACCCTCCATGCGCTTCACACCTCTGAGCCCACAGGCCAGCCCCACCCGTCTCCACCCACCATTCCTTGCTCCCCTGGCTCTGGCCTAGACCCTCTTCCAGGTCCGACCTATCTTTGGGAGACTTCAGGTTGGAGAGACAGGACAGCAGTGGAAGGAGCACAGAGCAGGCGCGTGCCTCCTGTCCCGTGGGCCCCTCCCCGGGAAGGCAGAGCTCCAGTCCACACAAGGCCTTGCCCTCTCTCTGCCTCCTCACTGGTTCCAACACCAGAAGCACCAGCAAGTAGAGGACCAGAGGGTCAGAGGTTGGGAGCGCAGTGTTGGGGCCCCTCCAGCAGCCAGAGACCACTGCACTGGCCCATGGGCCCGTCACACCCTCCAGGAGCCACTCTCTTCTCCTGCCCTCTGGTCCTGGGGTGCTGGCACCCTTGTGGTTCCACAGCCATGGTAGCTGCCCTGTCCTCTGTCCACACCTGGCCCACCCCTTCCCAAACAGTTCCTTTATTAAACTCCCCAGATACTGACTGAGTGTGCCCCCACTTCCTTCTGGGACCATAACCTACTTCAGGCACCCACATTCCAATCTCTTGTCTGCAGCGACAAAAGGGAGACATCACCATGTAGTCTTTAAACTTCTCTGGGGGAAGCCAGAAGTCCTCGAGGAGCTTGGTAAGCTACGAAGGGCTTGGCTAAGCAGGGACAAGCTGAACTGCCTGGAGGTGCTGGAAGCATTTTGTTTGACCTCATTTCTGTTTTCTGACTCTGAAAAACAACTAGAAGGAAGGGGCTGTTAAAAGAACACCGGGCCCCACAATCACCTAAGTGAGCATCCCAGAAGCTGAGAGCATCTTGGGCACACGGCTCTGCCACAGTCCAAGTCCAGGACCAAAGAGCCAGTGCTGCCACCAGGGGCACCAGACCTGGTGACCACCAGCATCGCAATGGCTGATGACAATGGCCAATTTCACCACTGGCCTCCTTCTGCCTAACACAGTAAATAAGGGATAAGGACGCACGCTTTCCTCCTAGGGACCCAGTAGAGCTGCAGACACTTTCAGGGAAGAAAATATAATGGGAACAGAAACATTTTTAATTTTCCAAAACTGCTCTTTGGAGGGTAAAGGGGGCTGCACTCCACCACTTGCTCCCAGACAGTGCAGTTACAAACATGTTTTTAAAAGGAAGGAAAGAAAGGAAAAGGGTTTCCCACATCAAATTTTGTCAGTTAAGGACATTAAAAGGGGGCTCTTCTACCTGTGACTGCTGACATTTCATTTTACAGGGGGAACTGCATCAAAGGACCTCCCTTACCCTTCCCAGAATCAGGCAGGAGGCGTCCTTCCCACCCACGCCACCTGTCGCCCGCCCAGGGCTCATACCTGTGCTATGCACTGCCTGGAAGCCCTTCCTTTGCACCGAGGCATCCGAATAGAACCTCAGGAACAGGCTGCTGCCTGAGGCCACCACTGGCTCTGGCTTCGTGCTGCCACAGAACCGGCCGAGCACAGGCGCGAGGCTGTCGGGGCCATCGTACACCTCCAGGTGGTCATAGGCACATTCCTGGTGCTGCTCAATCTCAAACTCGTTGAACACCTGAGAGTGGAAGAGCAGCAAACAAGGCAAAGCCTGGCCTCAGCACGGAAAGAAGGTCTAGGCAGTGTCTGGTGGCAGCTTCCGCAGCTGGGCAGGACACACGCTTGGCGACCCAGCAAGGAGGGTCTCCACTCACCCCTTCTGGTCCCTAAAGCAACACATGCGCTACGTGAGCGCTTGCTGCCCTGACCACTTCATAGTGGCTACGGGGTGACCACCTGGACCTGTCTTCCTTCTGCTCCTCCATACCAAGAGCCAGCAAGGGCTGAGTGCTTACCCTGTGCCACAGCTGTGTCATTTAATCCTCATGACCCTTTCATGTGGCCAATCTCCACTCTTCAGATCAGGAAACTGAGGCAAGGAGACAGAAGATGACTTGCCTGAATTCTCTTACGGCTAAGTAGAGCTGAACCATAATCTAGAAGCCATGGCTTCGAGGACAGTGATCTAAGCCTCTGCACTGCGTGGCAGTGCCCACGCAGGGCATGCAGCTCTGTGCTGGCATCTCTGCCATCAGGGCTGCTGACCAAGCCTCTGTGGTGATGCCGTGGGGGAAGAGAACCTGCTGCGCAGCTACCAGTGTGCAGGAGGCAAACTGAATTTTAGGAAGCTAGCTGACTCGCCCAAGACACCTGGAGGCGGAGGGGGCAGGACTTGGCCTGCAGTCAGTCTTCGCAGTCCCATGCTCTTTTTATCAGGACTGAGAATGCCAATTTGAACCCAAAGCCTTCACATTGTGCTACAGGCCAGGCTTTTTCTTTTAAATCTTGAGGCCGGGTGTATTAACCAACTGAAACACCGAGCTAAGCTCAAGCGGTCCTCCCCCCCAGCCTCCCAGCGTTGGGGCTGAGGGTTTCTCTGGTGCCAGGTTGAAGGACGCGGGACACGGTGAGCAGGAAGCCGCGAGACTTGAACCAAAGGAGCAGACGGAAGACATCAGTGCAGGGAGGGAGGTCTAAATTCAAAAGACAGGGGCTAGAGTGACTGGGCAGAGGTGCAAAAAGGGAGGCAGAAACAGAGGGACCCCTGTCATCTCACAAGAATGACAAGCACCCGAAAAGGACAAAGCTCTTACAAGAGAGGGAAGGAGTGGGGACAGACACATGAGGCAGGAGTGGCAAGGCAGGGCCTCGCAGGGCTACAAGCTGGGAGGAAGAGGAGTCAGGTTAGGGAGGTGGGCGCTCCCCAGAGTCCAGGGGACGCCCTGGGACTGAACCCACCCGGTGAGGTGCCAACTCGCATTCTATAGCGGCGACACATAGGGCGCAATCAATGTATCCGCCGCCACTTCCCAAGGAAATGCCACTCAAATAAAGATCTTTAAAACTGGCACCTCAGATAAGACTCCTGATGTGCCTGTTCCCGACTCTACCCCAAGGGGTCGCCATTCCCTCGGTCATCAGAGATACAGTCGTGGCGATCATTTTCCAGAAGATGGTAGTCTGTCTTTCTCAAATGCAACCCTCAGCCGCATTCCAGGCGGCTCGTTACCGACCCAGGGCAGCACCGCGAGGGCGCGGAGGAGGAGGACGCCGCTCCTGCGAGGGCAGCTCAGCCCCAGGGTGCCCCGGAGAGCGCCGCGCCTGCACCCACGTGCGCCCGGGAGCCCGCCCACCTGCCCCTGCTCCCCACTGGGTGCCCTTGCAAGCGCCTGCCTGCACCGCAAGCTCCTGAGCCTTCTCTGTCCCCTGCCCTCTCCCTGAATTGCCTACTGGTCCATCATCCCGCAGGGCCAGTCACTCATCTCCACAGTCAAAAGTCTTATGTGAAGAAACGTTTGTCAAGAGTACAGCCAATTGTGTGTCTGGCCACGAATTTGCTTTATATAGAAACTCCACGATTGGGAGTCCCTGGGGACGGAAACATGAGACTCAGGAGAGAGTCATTACTCCTTTGAAACAGCTAAGCTTGGCGTATTAGATATGTCAGATACGTGGACAGAACTTTGAATAGACTTGTGAGGCACTTGTTGTTCTTTAATTCAAGAATTAGCATAATGTCCCTATTGTTAATTGGAGAAAAAAGCACGCTGTGGAAGAATATGAATAATAATAGTCCACAACTTCATCTGTGGAGTTGGAGCGAAAGGAAAGACGCCGCCCACGCCCCCAGGCGCAGACCTGCACTGTTTGTGCACAGGAAATTCCTGGAGGGGTCCACAGGACAATGTTGAGCAAGAGTGATCATTTCTACAGCCGGGATGGTGGTCTGAGGACTTTCGATTTCCCCTTTCAACTGTCTATGCTTATTACATTATTTCACCTTAGAATGTCATGTTTTGTCCAACAAAAACTGGACATGAATTTCAAACAGCACTGCGGGTCTGTGTGCTGCGCGTCATCTCACGTAGAACACGAGTGCACCTTCTGCACAGCAGCCCATGAAGCAGGCTTCACGAGCATCCCCACTTTCTTCAGAAAGTGCACCTGAGACCTAGAAGTGAGTCCCCCACGTTTGACAGCTGGGAGGGAGTGGGACAGTAACCCATGTGTTCTTCACCCCTAAGTCCACGTTCTGGACAAACTACTCTAATGACTCACGAGCTTCACCCTGTGGCCTGCTGTGGACGAGATGTTCCAGGTACACTCCTTCCGGCTCGGGTACTTGTCAGGCCAGCTGGGGCTCGCCAGGGTCCCCTCTGCATCGCTGATCTTGTGTACACAGCCCGCTGAGGTCGTGGTGCGACATAGAGAGAAAGAAATTATGCACATTGCACAGCTCCAAAGGGATTCATTGTAGGGAGTCTCTTTCCCTGTAATTGTCTCAGGGGTAGCCAATATGGGAATAGCCAGTCTGAGCCAGGTGACCCCTGGTGCAGAAGTGAGCTGATTTGTGGAGGCTTGTGCCACCCTCCCGGCTATGGTGACCTTTCCTACTATTACTATTCACGTCACGATAACAATCTCTGTAAAGGTGGTAGAATCTCTGCTAGGCTAAGTTCACAGGCCCTGTGGTCAGGTGAACCTCAGCTCAAGTTCTGGTGTTACCACTGACAGGGTGAGGGACTTTGGGCATTGGAGAACCCAGGTCCTTACTTATAAGAGGCTGGAGACCTTGGGTATGTGGATTAGAAGAGAAAACACGTGTGAAGGGCTCAATGTGCATTGGCCGTGATGCGTGCTGACAGAGCTCCTTCATCACCACGCCTTTTGTCTACCTGTGCCTTGGTTTTTCAAAGCAGGATCTTTCAGAGACTACTCGCTTTGTCCTAGTCAGAGTGCTATTTGCAAAACGTGGTCCCGGGGCTTGCTCAATGCCCAGCATTTCTGACCACTATCTGGAATTTGCCTTCCTCTGTAAAAGCACTGTGGTAAGCATTTGGCATGCGTCCTCTCACTTAATCCATCTCATTTCCAAAGAAGAAAAGAGAAGACAGCAATGGTCTTCACGTCTTCCTTCTCCCTCAGCTTCCTCTGTGAGGCTTCAGGCAGGACCAAGGCCTGGAGGCCCGTGTCATCCCAGATGCACAGGCTTCCTTCTCTGGGCAGGGCAGGAGCAGAGGGAAGGCTTTTCCCAGGGACTGGACATTCCAAGCCCCATGGTCCCGCAGAGCTCTCAGCCCTGACTGGAGCGTGGAGCAGAGGCTTTCCCGCCCTCCTCCCTGCCAGGCCTTCTTCCTGAGGTGAGTAGCATTACGACATGGGTGGCTGGTGATGAGCATCTGTGGACATCTGAGTGACATGTATCAGGCTGTCTGAAATGCCTCCTGCACATGCTTTTAATCCTTACAAATGTTTTGAGAGGAAGGTAGTTAGCCCACTTTTCACAGAAGAGGAAACAGGCTCAGGGAGGTTACTCAAGGTTAAGGAACAATTAGTGAGAAGCAAAACCAGGATCCAGGATGAGGTAGCCTGACTGTGGAGGCTGCAGACTAGCCTCTCTGCTTTCACGCTTCCACGCACCTGCCCAAAGCCAGGAGACGCCGCCCAGCAGGAGGGCCACAAGGCGCTGCCAGCCAGCCGAGGGCAAATGCTGAGCCTGCGCACAGGGCACTGCTCTCCACAGGTGTGGGAGGCTTCCTCACCTGCGCCCCCCCCAACCCCGCACACAGCCAGTCCCAGGCCCTGCTGGCCGGACCCACCCTCCTTGCAGTCATGCGCGTTGTCATGGAGCCGGGAGCCATGCAGACACTGGCACAGGTAGCTTCCGAGCGTGTTGACACACTCATGCTGGCAGCCACCGTTGTCCTTGGCGCACTCATCCTTGTCTGGGGAGATCAACAGGTTCACCTGAGAGGAGCTGCCCACTTGGAAACGCCCCTTGGCTCCAAAACCCCGCTCCGAAGTGGCCTCCTCCAGGGAGCCTCCCGGCTGCCCACCCCTGGTTGTGGCAGATGTGCTGGGTCTTGCATGGCCTGTGGCGAGTTCTCCATGCCCACAATGCATTTTAACATACACTAGGTACGTTCTCTCCCCCTGCTCCCTGCCAAAACCAAGGCACACCTTGCAGGACAGGCTAGTATTAATAGCAATAGCAGCAAGGATAAAAGTAACTGCGTATTTACTGTGGAATAGGTACATTAGCTAAGTTAATTCTCAAAGTTGAGGGGGCATTTTTGCGTGTATCTTGTCATTGGACCTGTGCCCACTTCCCAGGTAAGGAAACTGAAGTCGAGACAGCTACTCTGCCTGGCAAGTGACCTTCATGACAGACTACCCACCACCTGAGTGCAAGGTGGTAAATGTGCAGGCTGTGCACCAGGAGTTAAATGCTTTCCACCTGCCACTTCTAGATGTGGTGACCATGGGCAGCACCTCCTCTGCGCCTCAGTGGCCTCTCAGGTAAAATGCACCAGTAATGGTGTCTTTACCTCAGAGATCAGAGGAGAAAATGTGCAGGAATAGGGAAAGCGCTGGGGCGGCGCGGGCGCCACAAGCAGGGTGGGCGTGCTACCCACGCATGGCTCCTGGGCTCCAGCCAGGGCAGCACAGGGCCCCTCTCCTCAGCCGACTCCTTCTTGCAGCACCCAAGGCCTGGTGTCCCTTCCCTCCCGCTCCCGCCACCCCACACCAAATGCTTCAGGGCTGTCGCACTGCCCTCCTCTCTCTGTCCTCTCTTCTGCTTGCGTTTCAGCTGTGCCCTCTTATTTCAGGGAGGCAACTCAGTGCCCTCAGGATGCAGACCATCCACCAGGCCGCAGCCGAAGCCTCACCTCTCCTCCCCGCGTGCTCCTATAGAGGATGGCCGGGTCCTCACCCAGCTGGACCCTGCTCCTCTGTCCTTAGATTCCCTGTGAAAGCATGAAATTGGAAGCCCTCTCCCACTGGCCCCTGACTCATCCTGCTCCTCTGCCCTCCCGCCTCTACACTGCTTGGCATGGTTTGGTCAGATGCTCAGGAGCCTGCGGAAGAACTCACTTCCTGTGCCATCAAGCCCTAACTCCTTAGCCAGCATGAAGCTGTTAATGATCCGGTCCCATCCGAGTGGACTCACCAGATGCGCTCGGCTTCCCAGGATGGGATGGGACTCCTCTCTGTCTCATCTCAGTCTCTGTGCTTGCTTGAGATGCTGAGCCCAAGCCACACTTCCTCTTCTTCTCAGGACTTTGATCACCACCTTTTGGTTATCCTATGACTACCCCAGCCCCTCCTGACCTTGGGGACCTGGCCCTGACCATAATGCAAGCTGCAAAAGACCTCTGTCCACTGCTCCAAACAGCCAGGGGCTTCCTGCTTCCCCAAACATCAATCCTGGTCACAGTGTCCCACCCCACAATTCTCCAAGCAGGGTCTTGGCAGGGTGAATCTCCCTGGCCTGCCTAGCTGGGATACAAGCTTGTCTAGGGTTGGAACATGTTCCTAGCAGCCTCCTTGAGCCGAGCACTGCGCGTAGCCACAGCAGACACTCAAAGCAAAGCACGACCTTCTCGAAGAGAGACAACTAAAAGCAGTCACAGAGACAGAAATCTGGGTACCTAGCAACAAATAAGTGGTTTGCTTCTACACTAGTGCTAAGAATATAAAATGAATCAAACTACAGTTCCTGCTCCACTATGATGTGACAAGCTCAGTGACTTGTGAGGCCCAGTGCAAGATGAACATGGGGTTTCCTTGTCCAAAAACTGTTATGAATTTCAAGACAATAAGACCAATGTGCTCTCTGTGAAAGCCTGAGAGGATGTTTTCTCTCCATGTGACTCTCCTTAGGCACACTCTACATCATCAATGACTTTCCTCTTTGGCCCCATAATCTCCTTGATCAGAAAATTTGGGATACTACCAAGTTACATGACGTTACAGTACAAGTTCTCATATGTCCTGAGTCTTAATTGACTGTGACTCATCCACATGGCTGACACTGACAAAGGTTCTACAACCTGAGGTACAGGATCTCAGGATAAATCCTGAGGAGATTTCACTGACCTTATCAGACCCACAAGCTACAACTCCTGTTGCATAGGTCCTGCTTTAACTTGGTCTTAACCATCCAGCAGAAAAGTATAAAAACGAAGTATAAGAAGTAAAGCCATGCTGTTATGTTGAGTTGTAGGGGACTCAGGTCAACAATTTCTGACACTGCCAGTCAAGCGAAGACCCAATACTATTTTGGACTACTGGACTCTTTTAGAATATTTTGCTGAGTTAACACACCTATAATATTCAAATAACGGAACTTAACAAAAAAAGGAGATACTGTCCATTTTTTATCTGTGTATTCAAAATGGTTAGGATAGATATATAGTTGCATTCTCTTAATGAATAGAGGGATTTGTTCTAATACTGTTTGTAAATAGGATATCATGTCTGCATCTTGTACAGCAATTAACCACTAGGAAGAATGTATGCAATGTGTTAATTATTGAATCTGTCCTACCAATTTGGTTTGAAACTGTCTCATTGCTATTTGTTTCTCAATAAAATTATGGGGAAAAAAAGACAACAAGACCAAAGCCTCCATCCCACCTTGAATTCATGCTCAATATTTCTGAGTGTGGCCCTGTATGGCTTCACAGGTCCCGGGCCCACGGAACTGCCCTGAAGATAAAAGCCCTAGTGGGAAGGAGGTGGCAGTGTTGCCGAAACCCTGGCGAAAGAACAGCTAGTGTGAAGAAATGGGGCACAGCTACAGAAAATGCTACGTGGTGTCCCCAAGTCTAAGTGGGGGAGAAGGAAGGACGTTCCAGGCAGAAGGGCCACCATGGTGTGGGTGGAGAGAGTGCGATGGGTTTATTTTATTTATTTATTTATTTATTTATTTATTGGATTTTAGGGAAGAGTCTACAGGGTGTTCAGGGTCTCACTACTAGATCAGGCTCGTAGTGATCCACCTGTTTACAGCCTCCCAAGAGCTGGGATTACAGGCGTGCACCACCAAGCCCAGTCTCAGTGTGTCCCAGGGGCGGGGCTGGCTGGGCTGGGTTGAGGAGTGCAGGGTGATGCTACAAGAAGTAGGGGAGGGAGTTGCCAGTGATCAGGGTGTGCCCACCTAGCAGAGGACCCACAGCTGGCAGGAGCAGTGCCCAACATCAAACTGCACACTGGAAAATGGAGTGTTACTCTACAGTGCCAGATGGTCCTAATGGCTCATGAGTTTCAATTTGAGAACCAGGGTCCAAAGTGTCACTTTAGGAAGAGGGTTGAATACTGTTCCCCCAAATTGATATCCACCTGTATATCAGCACATGACCTTATTTGGAAATAAGGCCTTTGCAGAAATAGTTAAGGCTCTTGGGGTAAATCACCCTTGGTTTACAGTCAGCCCTAACGCCAATGACTGGAATTTTTATAAGAGAAGAGGAGGGGCCAGGGAGATAGCTCAGCAGTATAAGCACTTGCCTGGCAAGCTCAAAGGTCTGAATTCAATACCCAGTTTAACCAAAAAAGAAGAAGAAGAAGAAGAAGAAGAAGAAGAAGAAGAAGAAGAAGAAGAAGAAGAAGAAGAAGAAGAAGAAGAAGAAGAAGAAGAAGATAGA